ATAAAAAAAATTCATATATTGAATTGAAAATTTAAAATAATTGAACTTGTGACGGTAACAAACAAAATTACCAAAGATTAAAAAAATAAAATTATTATAGCAGCTAATGAACAACATGTAAAACAAATAATTCTAAATCATGAGTACTCTTTCCCACAACTTTGTGACAGTGACAAACAAAATTACTGAAGATTAAAAAAAATTATTATAGCAACTAATGACCAACATGTAAAACAAATAATTCTGAAATAGATAAAAAAAAAAATTATAAATCATGAGTACTCTGTCCCACAACTTTGTGACGAGGAACAGAGGTCTCATCCAATCATCAGCTCTCTTGTGTTGTCATTGTATTCCTGAAGTTTGTGTCTCCTCCTGTTTGATTGCAGCATCGATGCCTATTTGGAAGAAATGCTTATTTGCTGCCAAATTTCACATGGGAATCACTTATCTCCAAGCATTAGCAAGAAGAAAATGGAAGACCAACCGCGCTAATACACCGTTGGGAATAGGAGAAATGAAGGATCGTAGGATGAAAATGGCAGCTTTTGTTTCTCTGCCAGCGCTACTGTTTCCTGTTTGGACGAAATCTAGAAATGGTATGCACCATGAATACCTTCTTGCATTCTCCAATCTTGCGGGGCATAAGTTTCGGCTCTCTGAGGAGGGATTTGGTGAATGTATCACCAGGAAAAATCTGATTTTTCTGTGGTTTTAATCGTAGGAACCGAGTAAAAACCTCTCCTTTTACAGCCAAGATCGAGGGTTCCTTTGGCTTTGGAGACCGGTGGTACCTTCCGTTCCTCTTTTTGGTGCTTCCGTAGCTATAGATATTGGGGAACGCCAGATTGGCCTTCGTCAGTTTGGTGAAGAGCACCCGCATGTGAGTTACCTTTCCTCATTGTTTTTGATGCTTTCTGTCTTCTACTATCAGCTGAGATTGAGGTTTTTGCTTCGGTGTTGGCTCAGAACGCAAAGAATGGCGTGGAAAAATTGGATAAAGATGGGATTTTTATGGTTTATCTGCCTCGAATCGGTGGTCTTGAGCGCCACGGACCCGGGCGATTACGCCGTTCTTGATGAATTCCGGAAAGGGTTGTCCAACTCGGAGCTGCTCGAGTGGCCTACGGACAACAACGATCCCTGCGGCAATCCGAGATGGCCTCACGTCGGCTGCTCCGGTTCTCGGGTGACACAGATTCAGTTGCAGAGCATGGGATTGAGCGGGCCTCTGCCTCAGAACTTCAACAAGCTCTCCATGCTGACCAACATTGGTTTTCAGAGGAACAAGTTCACCGGAAAGTTGCCATCGTTCAATGGTTTGTCTAGTCTGCAGCGTGCCTATCTCGATCTCAATCAGTTCGACACCATTCCCTCGGATTTCTTCGTCGGCCTCGATAATCTGCAGGTTCTAACTTTGGATCATAACCCTCTGAATCAGAGTACCGGATGGACCTTGCCGTCGGACTTGGCCAATTCGGCGCAGCTGATGAATCTGTCCCTGGTCGAGTGTAATCTTGTCGGTCCGCTGCCGGAATTCCTGGGAAGCATGAAGTCATTGACTGCTCTGAGGATAGCTCAGAACAAATTCACTGGTGGGATTCCGACAAGCTACTCGGGTATGCCATTGCAGGTCCTATGGCTGAACGATCAGGAAGGTGCAGGATTAACCGGCTCGATCGACATCATTGCTAGCATGACAATGCTGAGTGATGCTGTGGTTTATGGAAATCAGTTCTCAGGGCCTATTCCCAGTTCGATCGGCTCATTAACTTCACTGAAACGGCTGCTCCTCAACAGCAACCAGTTTGTCGGCCTTGTTCCTGAGACTTTGATGAGTTTGCCAATGCTTCAGTCATTGCGTTTGGACAAGAACATGCTCATGGGGCCAATTCCAAAGGCGAGCTTCAGTGACTTCAATTATGCTCATAATTCGTTTTGCCAATCAACACCAGGAGTGCCTTGCTCACCACAAGTCGATGCACTTTTGGAATTCCTTGAAGAAGTGAATTATCCATCAAAGCTCACTCGTTCTTGGTCTGGAAATGATCCTTGCGCCGGGCCATGGTTCGGTATTTCCTGCTCCGATGGCAAGGTTTCCATTATAAATCTTCAGAACTCTCAATTAAGTGGCACGATTAGTGAATCTTTGGGTAAGCTGGATTCTCTCATGAATTTGATTCTGAAGGGTAACAATCTTACTGGCCCAATTCCTCCTAGCATGACAAGCTTGAAATCGTTGAAGACACTCGACCTTTCTTACAACAATCTCTCACCTCCTGTTCCTCAATTCCCTAGTACTGTGACAGTCCTCCTTGAGGGAAACAAGTTGTTGAAGAATTCTCCTCCTCCACCAAAATCTCCTCCTCCAGCATCTCCTCCTCCTCCTCCAGCATCTCCTCC